TGACACTGACAATAATATTTTGAGACGGGAAGTTGTTTGATGACACCGACAGTAACATTTTGAGATGGGAAGTTGTTTGATGACACCGACAGTAACATTTTGAGATGAGAAGTTGTTTGATGACACCGACAGTAACATTTTGAGATGGGGAGTTGTTTGATGACACCGACAGTAACATTTTGAGATGGGAAGTTGTTTGATGACACCGACAGTAACATTTTGAGATGGGAAGTTGTTTGATGACACCGACAGTAACATTTTGAGATGGGAAGTTGTTTGATGACACCGACAGTAACATTTTGAGATGGGAAGTTGTTTGATGACACCGACAGTAACATTTTGAGATGGGAAGTTGTTTGATGACACCGACAGTAACATTTTGAGATGGGAAGTTGTTTGATGACACCGACAGTAACATTTTGAGATGGGAAGTTGTTTGATGACACCGACAGTAACATTTTGAGATGGGGAGTTGTTTGATGACACCGACAGTAACATTTTGAGATGGGAAGTTGTTTGATGACACCGACAGTAACATTTTGAGATGGGAAGTTGTTTGATGACACCGACAGTAACATTTTGAGATGAGAAGTTGTTTGATGATACCGACAGTAACATTTTGAGATGGGAAGTTGTTTGATGACACCGACAGTAACATTTTGAGATGGGAAGTTGTTTGATGACACCGACAGTAACATTTTGAGATGGGAAGTTGTTTGATGACACCGACAGTAACATTTTGAGATGGGAAGTTGTTTGATGACACCGACAGTAACATTTTGAGATGGGAAGTTGTTTGATGACACCGACAGTAACATTTTGAGATGGGAAGTTGTTTGATGACACCGACAGTAACATTTTGAGGTGGGAAGTTGTTTGATGACACCGACAGTAACATTTTGAGGTGGGAAGTTGTTTGATGACACCGACAGTAACATTTTGAGATGGGAAGTTGTTTGATGACACCGACAGTAACATTTTGAGATGGGGAGTTGTTTTATTACACTGACAGTAACATTTTGAGATTGGAAATTGTTTGATAATAAAGTAACATTTTGAAGGCGGGGAAGGAGTTAAACAAATATTCTGGGGTAAGTATACCATTTCAAGTATTGGTAAAAGGTTTGATACATTTTGATGTTTAATGATAGAGATGAAGTCTCACATTTCTGCGAGTCATTTTAACAGATTTGGCCATATATCATTATAGTAATGGTATGTGATCCGTCCAGGTGGGTAATAAGTTACAGTTATATATCTGGTCAGTAATGTTACTCTTGTTGTGATTTTGTAGTGTAGGTAATCAGTTGAGAGATGGTGAGCCATTTTAGAAATGTAGATTGTAAACGCCTTATCATTGTGAATAAATTCAACTGAAACAGCAGGACGTCTTGTGAACTCTTTTTTAAACATATTACCAAATATTGTATTTGTAATGAAATACCCAGGTATAAAGTAAGATATTTTCCATATTTCATTTGACAACCAGCCTACCAACCGGTACAAAATCAATATATCGATACCTATCAACCGGTTCAAAATCAATATATCGATACCTATCAACCGGAACAAAATCAATATATCGATACCTATCAACCGGTACAAAATCAATATATCGATACCTATCAACCGGTACAAAATCAATATATCGATACCTATCAACCGGTACAAAATCAATATATCGATACCTATCAACCGGTTCAAAATCAATATATCGATACCTATCAACCGGTTCAAAATCAATATATCGATACCTATCAACCGGTTCAAAATCAATATATCGATACCTATCAACCGTTCAAAATCAATATATCGATACCTATCAACCGGAACAAAATCAATATATCAATACCTATCAACCGGAACAAAATCAATATATCGATACCTATCAACCGGAACAAAATCAATATATCGATACCTATCAACCGGTACAAAATCAATATATCGATACCTATCAACCGGTTCAAAATCAATATATCGATACCTATCAACCGGTACAAGATCAATATATCGATACCTATCAACCGGAACAAAATCAATATATCAATACCTATCAACCGGAACAAAATCAATATATCGATACCTATCAACCGGAACAAAATCAATATATCGATACCTATCAACCGGTACAAGATCAATATATCGATACCTATCAACCGGTACAAAATCAATATATCGATACCTATCAACCGGTACAAAATCAATATATCGATACCTATCAACCGGTACAAAATCAATATATCGATACCTATCAACCGGTTCAAAATCAATATATCGATACCTATCAACCGGTACAAGATCAATATATCGATACCTATCAACCGGAACAAAATCAATATATCAATACCTATCAACCGGAACAAGATCAATATATCGATACCTATCAACCGGAACAAAATCAATATATCGATACCTATCAACCGGTTCAAAATCAATATATCGATACCTATCAACCGGTTCAAAATCAATATATCGATACCTATCAACCGGTACAAAATCAATATATCGATACCTATCAACCGGTACAAGATCAATATATCGATACCTATCAACTGTTTCAAAATCAATATATCGATACCTATCAACCGGAACAAAATCAATATATCGATACCTATCAACCGTTTCAAAATCAATATATCGATACCTATCAACCGGTACAAAATCAATATATCGATACCTATCAACCGGTACAAAATCAATATATCGATACCTATCAACCGGTACAAAATCACTACCTTCATCAACAACCGATTTACCGGTAAAATCAATATATCACTACCTATCAATCGGTATAGCATGGTATTTTGAAACATGGGGAAATGAACAGTGGTCAAAATACCATAATGGTGAACCACGGTACAATTCTCCTTTATGGTGAAATGAACTCCCAAAGTAAAGCAAGCCACTTTATATTTTGTTTTCAATTGAATTTTCTTCACTTAATTTCTTATCACTTTGATATATCTATTTTATGTTGTTTGTGTGTTTATATGATTGAATCATATTGACAAATAGGAAAAAAAATGGTGAAAAAGTTTAATTTGTAAGAAAAGTGTAATGCTTCACTTTACCTTGGCCATGGTGAAGTGAACGTCATGACCCTCTCTAAATTTCCCCACCAATACCAACTTTTGCTGTTTGTGAGTTTATATGATTGGATCAGGGCCATGAGAAATTGATGAAAAATGTTTAATTAGTAGGAAATTAGTGTAATGCTTCACTTAATCATGGCGATAGTGAAGTGAAGTGCCCCCCCCCCCCCCCCCCATTTATTGCCCCACCCTAAATTTCCCTACCCTGATTTTTGTTTTATTATGTGTTGAGGAACATAATTAAGTAAACTGATAAAGAATTTAGTGATTGAAAACAAAATATAAAGTGGCTTCACTTTACCATGGCAGGAGGGGTTCATTTCATCATAATGGTGAAATGAACCACGGTTCACTTTACCATGGCAGGAGGGGTTCATTTCATCATAATGGTGAAATGAACCATGGTTCACTTTACCATGGCAGGAGGGGTTCATTTCATCATAATGGTGAAATGAACCACGGTTCACTTTACCATGGCAGGAGGGGTTCATTTCATCATAATGGTGAAATGAACCAGGGTTCACTTTACCATGGGTTTCACTTTACTACACCAGTACCAAATCCAGTATATAGACAACACTCAATCTACCATTACAACATCCATATCACTACCAACACCCAAGCTACTGTTAAATTACAACATCTAAAAACATGGGTTATTTGTTCGCTTGCTGGGTATTTAGAGGGGTAGTCTTATTGTAGTAGTCTGTGACTACCTCACAGAATATTATGCCAAAAACTGAGTTTGTGATTAATTTATCAGCAAGCATCACATCGGACAAATATACTTGCTTTGACATTATCAAAGAGACTTCCTCTCAGCTGCAATGCATAATGATCTTGGGCCCCTAACTGTGTCAATTCAACTTCTACTGAAGGTTTTGATTATGACCAAGCTCCTCAAGTTTAGGTTCTTCACCAATGGGTGGTGATAGATTGATAGTTTCATTAAACATTACAGCCATAGTTTGTACAGACATATACCAATTGTGATGAATCATGTTTTTTCAAAGGGAACATTTCTATATATTGAATATATCAAAATTTTAAATACTTCAATGCAGATGCAGACAAATTGTTTCCAAATTTCATTAAGAAATAAAAATGACTATTGAACATTTGGCTGGAGGTGATATTTTGAGATAAGAACAATGATAAATAACAAAAACCTCAGAAATATCATGAAGGCAATTTATTTATCTGTTAGTCATATTTCACAAAGAGTAGCACAAATAAAACAAAACATACATTATGCTACATTTGTGTCGCTCTGTTTAAAGATGGACTTTACAAATACTGATAGCAAGTGCTTTTATAGTGCATTTCAAAGAAAAACACTTCAACTCAGAATCTATACATACACCATCATGTTCATGGTATTGAGCAAATTGTATATAATTTAATGCTGGATTGTCCATAATCGCCTCCTAGTTGAAAAAAACTGATCAAACATCACAGCAGCTTCTTATTTTCTTTGATCTTACTTGTGAAAGAGTTAATCCTACGGTTTGAAATAATACTTATTGTTATAGAATACCTTGACAATCCAAATGAATTAGAAATTTGGCAAATGGTATCATGAGATAGACAAAATCCTGCGGAATCAGAACATGATATTATAATGCTTTTTTAATACTTCAAATTGCATCCATACAGACACACACACAATACATGATTCGATAGCATAGGTATATCTACAATGTATATAGCCAAGAAAGATTGCCGTATACGAACAAGATAAAGAATCTATAAAAGTGTTTATATATACAGAGGACTGAAATAATTAAATATGTAAATAATCTTTTCATAAATATTTGCTATCTGAACATCAATAAAATATCAGGTATAATGTACAGATGACTTAATGTGTATGGAGAATGTATGTATGTTAAAAAGAAACATGACCAGTACTTAAGATATCACAAAAAAGAATGTCATCGTTACAAACATGACAATAAAAAACTCAAAATCATTTTTCCTATTAAAAGAAAAATAGTTCTACACACATCGACTACAGTAACATATAACTATATAGAAATAAATTCTCTTTTATATTTCAACAAATCTGACCCTGAATGTGACATTTCGTTAATACTGACTGAATTTTATCTCGGACACAAATTCTGAGCTCTGGTTTAATCAAATAACTCACTGGGAAGAAAAAAATAACATTTACCATGAAACTCAACTGAAAGACAACAGTTACAGTACCTATATCTAAAACATGGATTAAAACATCTAAGAAATATCACAGCCAGAGCTATGGACGGAGAGAGAGTGGAAAAGTTCCATTAACAAAAATGAAAAGATAAAATTTGAATACATCATTTCTGAAATATTGGCAGGAATGTAAATATTATTGTACAGAATTCAACTGTTGTTGTAAATCCAAATCATGTTCCCATTTTTACAGTCTAGTCCTGGACCTCAACTATTAATGGTGCCAAGTACTGTGAATGACGAATTCCAAAAGAAAACACTGGAGATTGCTTCTTATTGATGTACACCTAGAAATGGAAAGAGCAAATGATATAATAGTAATTTAGTAAGTCAAACAAAATACAAGAATGTGTGTTTGAACAGAATAAATAGTCGGAGAAACAATTTCACACTTAAGAGAAAATACTCCAATGAAGAATATATAAAAAACATGTCTTCAAATGTCTATGATTTTTTTATCTACTTCAATAACTTTTTGAGCTATAATAGTGCTAAATTTCCATTGTAGAAGATCTTAATGTTAATAATACAAAATTGATGCCCAAGATGTCACTGAAGTGTTTAAGTACTAGACCAATACCACTGCTACTTACATTCTCTGGTGAGTGAGCACCAGGTCCTGGTTTCTGTGTGTTGTCACCAGGCATCAAATTTCTACTGGTCATACTGTACAAAGCAGCTTTGGATTTGTATGCATTAGGATCAGTGTTATCATATGTGCCAGGTCCTGGGGACTATTAAAAAACAACACAGCACTCATACAGATAGTGTAATGTCACTAAGAAAATATTGATTATCAATAATAATTATTAAGATGCCTGTTACAAATTGAAAAAAAAATTTTTCACTACCTGATTAATTTGTTATCATTGCTCACAAGTAATAATTTATAATAACTTTATTGATCAACACAAATTAAAGCAGAAATGCTATTTAGGATTCTTTTTTTATTTCATTGGAAAATTGCGGCTATGAGGAAAGGAAAATAATGTTCACCTTGGCTAAATCTTCACTGAAAGCTCCCTGTGTTTGGCGACCAGTCATGGAATAGATTGGAGACTGTTTCTTGCCACTCTGCACAGTTTTGCCAGTCATAGAGGGAAGGGAGTACTTGTTAGCAGCTGAAAGTTAATCAAATCACTTGATATTGACACATTCAACAGAACACTGATTTAAACAATCTTAATCACTGAATGAAAAAGTTGCTTAAAGTTTTTTTTTCGCTCGTCTTATTTCTAGTTTTATTTGAGGAGTGATGGAAGAAATCTCTGTTATATCAAGTACCTCATGTCCCAGCAATTCATTAAAGTATGATTTCTGGTATATTTGAATTTTTATCACTGGTTTATCCTGGTATAATATTTGCTGTAATACAATTCATCAGAAAGTGGCATAAAAATTGAAATTGAAAAAAAGGTATGAAATGCCTGACAGAATCCCATTTAAAAATAAACTAATATTTATTGATTTTATTTTACGTATATATAAACAGCTATTAGCTCATGAGTGAACACCTGACTTGAAAATTGCCATTTAACAAATACAATGGTGGCTCTATGGAGATATTGATCAGTAAAGGGTCTCCAATGATACCTTGAATTGCATTAACACTTTTCACGCAACCTGACACAGTCTATACCTATATGATAATCATTATTTCACCCTGGCAATGATGGTCTTTAGTATTCAGCACACAGAAGAAACTCAAACCCTAAATCACTTGAGATCTGGTTGATATATATGTATATTAGTACTCTTTATGTGTACACAACAGCTTAGTTATAAGGAGGCATCCCAGGCCAATTCACTGCTGCCCATATTTGTATAAAATCGTACTGTTGACATTTATACTGGAACAAGCTCATATTCTGGTCTGTGTGTGAAATTGAGATTATATTAACCTTAAAAGTACCAAACAGGCCATGATAAGTACCTTTAAAACAGTCTTTAAGTTATCTTAAAATACTGTTAACCTAATTCATGATGTTTTATGTCTAAGACAAGCATATTAATGTTGAAAATCAAATTCTATTTTGAAAACTAAAATCTGGTTAATTTAAATTCATGAAGCATTCAGTAATGTATCTACTCAATCCATTTATTGGATTATACCTATTCCTGTTGCTTACTTCAACAGAGGAGAACAGAGGAGCAAGTCTACTTAATTAACATGTCTGAACAATAAACCATACATTAATCAATAAATACCACACGTGGCTGTAAAAAGGTGGGTATGAAAAGGTCAAAATCAATACACTACACCACAGGAATTAAATGTTCTATAGGTGAAATATAGCTAGTGGAATGTCTAATTCCTGTTACATATGTGAAATATAGATATTTATATGCCTGATCAATGTTCTATATGTGAATTATAGCTATAAGTATGTCTGATTCCTGTTCTATATGTGAAATATAGCTACAAGTATGTCTGATTCCTGTTCTATATGTGAAATATAGCTACAAGTATGTCTGATTCCTGTTCTATATGTGAAATATAGCTACAAGTATGTCTGATTCCTGTTCTATATGTGAAATATAGCTATAAGTATGTCTGATTCCTGTTCTATATGTGAAATATAGCTATTTACATGTCTGATTCCTGTTCTATATGTGAAATATAGCTATAAGTATGTCTGATTCTTGTAATTAACACTTAAACAACATATACATCACTTTTACAAAAGGTAAAGTGTCCCTTTGATTACAAAGATTTTGATTATTCAAAAGTAGGAAAAAAGAACAACAAATTAACTAAATCAATTAAAGGTCACAATCCCTGAACCGTATCTAATAAATGCTGGTATATCTAATGCTAGAGTGAATGTAATTTATCACTTTTTAAAAATCTCCTGAGTTCATGGATCATTAAACTAGAATACTTCAATTTACATATCAGGGACAATTAATAGAATCGTTAAGATTCCATTAAATACAAATTGATCTCTTACTTCCCACTTGACATTTAAATAGTGGTGTCATTGATAAATGGAATCTCTCATGAACATGTCAATAGTGTTATTTATTGATTGAACCTTGGAGAGCTTGTTTCTTGGATTGCGTACCAGTATACATGTTGTCCGAAGCTGAGATCCAGCAATACTCCATAGTTAAAAGGAGCACATGTAGTAGAATAGAAGATCTTATAACACAACCAGTAGAAGATTTGAGTGTGACTTTTTGATGACTTTGTGATCACCATCATCAGAAAAATAACCAGTGTCAAGCTAACACTGATGAACGTAGTGTCCGAGATGGTATAGAATTGATCAACTTTTTCGACTGCACTATCATTCTATGTACGAAAAAGTCGAAAATAGTGTGACTGGTCATTTGTCTGATGACGGTGACTGTGTAGTCATCAAAACGCCACACTCAAATCTTCTCCTGGTTGTGTTATAAGAACTTCTATTCTATTGACATTACAAACCTGAAGAAAGTGTTCAAAAAATATCGCAGCACATATAGATATACCAGGTAAATGAAGTATAACAGGGATGTAGTATTTAATCATTCTAGCAGTCTGATACTATGACCAACTATAGAATCAGTTAAACTGATACACTTACTCCCCTTTGTACCATTCTTTTCTGTATTTTGAACACACAAATTGTAATATGTTCTTAATCATGGTTACTTACTATCTAAATCTTCTCCTCAAGAACAAGTCCAATATCTATTTCTTAGTAAAGACTTGAACCTAAGTACAGTTTTAAGGATGTGACTAGATATTTGTTAAATGTTAATAAAACAATATTATCTTGGAGCAACAATAATTAGTGGATGCTGTGTTACTTCAGTGATAAGTGACCACCATCTTGGAGTAGTTATCAGTGACTGGTGTATTAGATGATAAAACCTTGATTGTTGTGATATCAAGAATAACAAGAAGGTTTTTGCTTATACACATCTCAAGCAAATGCATGACCACTTAAACATAGGGCACAACTTACAACAGATATGACTAATAGGTGATGTTAACCATACCTGGTGTGTTGTCTGTCTTCCTGTTTTGGTGACGTGTGCCGAAGCTGTATGCTGGGTGTCTGTAATGAGCAGTGGGTCCAACATTCTCAGGGCTGTAGGCACCTGGGCCTGGCACTTTGAACTGGGTGCTGTCCTTTTGCCTTCCATACAGTGAATAATGGGGGGTGCCATCAACACCATTTCTGTACACCTTAGAGTTAAGCAAGTAACGGGGGCCGGGGCTGCAATCATCCTGGAATTTTCCATGTCGGACTCCGAAGGGATAAGCTGGTCCCTTATTATGCAAACTCCTAGGGTCATGATGGCTTTGTCCCACCAATCCAGGAAGTCCATAACATGGACCTGGGCTGCTGTACATGGCAGCAATAGGCCCCCTGGGTTTTGTATAATTGTACACCATGATTATTCACTTAGTCTGCACACTTCTGAAAGAGAAAGAAAAGATTGGTTACTTACTTCTCAAATTTCTTTTCATTTACTATGTACATTGTAGATTTTCATCCATATATCATTTTTAATAGCATAATGTTTCCCATAGGGATGAGAAGGGTATAATATGTTACAAAATTTGAAGTGTTGAAGGTAGAAAAGGAAGTAGAAAGGGAGGTGATCGTTCTTCAAAGCTGGTGCAGAGAAATTAGAATTTCAAAAATGTAGAGAATTACATAATTTTATAAAATTTTGAAACCACTTTACATCCAAAACTTCATAAAGCCAAGGGAGATAAATATTTCACAAATTTCATTTTCAGTAAGCATACAAGAAATAACATAAAACTTGCCTGTCTCTATTACAGTGACCTATCTGAGTTTACCTGTACACTGATTTATATACAGAAGGTAAACTATTCGCCACTTCAAAACACTCTGAATGGCTCTATCACTAGGCAAACAAAATGAATTATATGATACCATAAATACTTGATAGTACAATATCAAATTTATGATAATAGTTCACAGTATGATGAACCTATCATTACCTCTCCCTATCTAGTAGAAATGGGAAATGCATAGTTACCAAACAATCACATAATCAGATTTGATAAGAAATATGGTGGCCCAATGAGAAGAAACAAAGTGACAGCTATCAAGTTTCTGTCACCTATTAACAAAGTAGTTCTGTCAGATAAGGAAAGTGCTCTGAATATACAATATCTTCCATAAAGTAAACAGTCTTACCTGGTCCCCACACAACAAATAAATGCCAATAAATTGACAACAGATCAAGGAATTAGTTAGTATCCAACACCATGCAATCACAAACAACACACGCACCAACTGGACAGCCACACCAAACGCCAATAGTGCCAGACTAGACCCAATACCCACACAATGTTTGTGCTATTGTTTGGCTAAGGCTACCCAGCAACCAGCTCAAAGACTTCTATAGGTTCATTAGCATACACAGGAACCCTATACAGGGCGCTCGGCCTCACTGGTCTATTTAAATCTACAAAAGCATGAAATATCTTACACAAAAGAATTAGGTAGATTTCAGTAGATGTATTTTTGCAGTATTGTTAAACCCAATACACATGCCTTAAAACTGAACTTAAAAGGCTTTACTATTTTCTTCTTATCCATATAAGTAATCGCTTTAATGAAACTTTAGCTGTATTTTCATGTTGCCATATTGCAAATCTTACTTTTTGGCTGCCTTAGAATTATCATGATTATATTTTAACTATAACCATATCTGTAATAATATCTTTGAAACTAATGGGAATGAGTGTAAGCCTTTTTTATTACAAAATATTTCAGAAGTTTTAAGATGAACTGTTAATTCAAGGAATTTCTACTTTTATTTGATGGAATAAGATTAAAACTTTAAATTAAGGACATGTTTGTTTGATCAATGACTAAGTGCAGTCTGAGAAATATGTCTGTACATGATAGATCTATTAGTTTTGGATGCATTATATACCTGTATAATACTGTAGGTATTAGATTATCCAGATTGACTTCATACTTTATTGCTTCTAGTATCCATTAACCTAAACCAGAGCTTTTCAGAATATTGACCATACATCAATATCCTTATTAAAATCAACCAAACGCTCAGATTTAATCTATTGTGGGCTGGGTGGCATTCATGCAAATACACTTATTTGTTAAAAAGGGGCTAGTAAACACATTGAAGCAAAGTATGGGTCAAAGTTTACATGGGTCAGTGTCACAAAGGCATATATCACTAAATATGGGTCAATGTTATCAAATTAGGGTCTGACCACAAGGTCACTGTCATACAGGAGCAGTTCCAAAACATGGGTCCTTGTCACATAGTGGATGGTCAGAAAATGTATATATTCTCACAGAGGCTAGTCACAAAAAGAATCATTGTCACATAGGGTCCGATCACAAAACATGTTTATTGTCACATACTAGTAAAGCCCTGACACATTAAAATTACCAGTATCATAATTATTGATATATTCAAGCCAGACATAATAAGCTGACAAGCAATGCAGTATCATTTGAGACACTAATCAAACAACTTGTTATAATTTCTTGTCTCTAACTTTGAGTTAAAAAATCATGTGTTGTGATTGCCAAGCAAGTAGGGCATAAGCATCGTGCAAGCTGTCCCAATACATGATAGTAAGAGAGCATTTTCACTTTCTGTTTCTTATCTCTTATCCTCAACAACTTTCTACCCAACACCTTACTTGGCATTACCTTGCTTTAGGCCATAGTGTTGATCACCCATCCAGATCAAGAAGGTTAACAAGAACTGTTTCTGAGACTGAGACAAACAAAACTTGCATGTACTTGCAACATGAAACTTGAGGGGTGTCATGCTACAGGGCATCTTTTCCAGCAGAATTTGGGATTGAATATGAGCCCCATTCCCATTGCAAATGCCTTTATATATGCCAATCAATTCATTAAAAGTAGTTTGTGATATTTCAGTATGAGAGCACTATAAAAGCATACTTCAGTTTACATTTACTATAAATAAGAATATTGCTCACATATGACCTTGGCTGTTGAAAGGATGTAAAACCCAAACAAATAACAAATAAACACAGTTTGCACAGATGAAACAACATAGAGGGCCTTACACAGTATATATTTATGAGCCTGTGTTTACATGTAAACATTTGGTTTATAAATCATGTGGACTTGTGTTCATATTGGGGCCCTAACATTAGGCACACTTACCAGACACAGTGTTAAAAACTAGATAGGAGCTTGTGTAAAATAAAAATGGCTTATGCAAGAATAGGGTTTGTAAACATATAATCATAATGGCTTCATATAGCATCACATTGCTAGGAACATCAGATGTGGGCATAGCATTGGGTTATTGACAAAGTTTAGTCATTTATTGTGCAATAAGCCCAAGTAATAAGAACAGGTAATTGTTGAACAGTATTTCTGGAAGGACTTAGTAACAGACATGTTCTTATAACTGGATAATAACAAATACATATTTTTTCATAATTTCTTTAAGTGTATGTACTGGTCAGACTTTTATTAAAAACAGTTCATTTAAATGTTGTACACTTATTATATGCCAGACAATAAGGCTTGTCTCAAAATAGGGGTCAGACCCACAGTATTGATTAAAAAGGGACCAACAAACAAACATATTAGATATGGTATCAGCATTTGGGTTGGTAATAGATTTTGTATTAGCCAATATAAATGAAGGGTTCAGATTTATAAGATATGGCTTTATGTAAGAGGAACAGACATGTATAGTAGCGATAACCGCCTTTTAAGTACAGGAGGTGTATAGTACAAAGATCAAACCATTGGGGACGCAATATATAATACAGTCTGTGCTTTCTTTAAAATGAATGTGATGTACTCAAAGTTAATTTCTTTACCATGTAATAAAAGTAATACATTGAATTATATTAATGACTATGTAACATTCAACTCACATTTTAATTCCAAACTTTTAAAAGGTTGGTAAGGTTCTTCAATGTAAGTTGTGTAAGTTCTAAAAATGTGTTCTAGATTTAAATACCCGTACTCTTAAAAGTCTATGAGGCCACAACATCGATCGTGTTAGCTTAATATTTCAATGATGAGCTTTCTTGATAGGATTTAAAAATTGATTTCACAGAAAATTACATTACTCCATCGAAAAGATGTAAATAAGGGAAAATTTATAGAAAAAAGTAATTAATTTTGTTTAAGTGGTTAGTAGGGTAATGTATGATAGTCTGTTTTATATTGCCTATAGACAACTTCCTATTGTAGATAGATATTATATATTATGTACCAATACACAGTATGTATACTAATATTCAGAATAAATCACACCAGAAGCATTTAATCCTGACTTCCATATGGTACATATTTAAAAAAGTTCATGTTATTGTACTGCCTACAGATCATAGGCTTTTATGATATAAGCACCTCTTCAACCTCATCTATGCCTATGACCGTATTTGATCAACTTCTTACAATAATATGGTTGAAATTCAATACTTTTTTAAAAAATTCAAATTGCGTTTTTCAATTACAAATATTACATATCTCAACACAATAGATGTGGACAACAACTGACTTTTAAGCACAAGCCTCAGATTTATTAGTGCACATTGCACAAACAGTGGGAAAGGTGTATGTATCAAGTCTACCATTAACAATGTATGTACAAATGATAGGCAACATGCAGACAAGGAATTACAGAATCCCACAATCAATGAAGCCAGCAGATATTACATGCCAGTCTTTCCCTTTTATTTTTTTCCATTTTATTTCCATTTATCTTACTTTATGAATTTGTTCCATTGGTCACTTCCATTTTTCCCCATTTTTACTGTGCACAGTATTTATAGGTGCTTGTAACTTTATGTTCAAACAAACATTTAGTTCATTTTTTCTGAAAATATATTTTAAAAAATGCAACAACTATATGAAATTTTAATGTAACACTGGGGAAAGGTATTCTGTTTGGGACATAATGCTCGACTGCCAAGTGCAGTATCATTATAAATTCATGACAAGTGGGAAGTTGCTATTGATCCAAGATCAATACAACCTTCGGCTTTCTAAATTACAGTATCAAGTATACCTACACTGGGGATGTATTATCTACATCTGAACCAGTCTAAAACACACACACACATCCTCATTAATATACATTTATTTGTTAGCAATTTCATTGATTACAAGTATCAAACACAAGCCTGCTAGACCTACAAGTCAAGTGAAATGTTTGAATGTATGGCTAGGTTTAGTGTTAAGGCTGAAAATTTTAACAAGGTAGTAAATGAAATATTATGAAAAATGTCATGTCTGATGGAAAGGCTACATGTGATTATATGAGGCTCAGTTGCTCAAAGGTTACTTAGAGTTAAATAGCAGTTAGTGAAAATTTAAATTGTTGCCACAGAAAATACAAGAGCTTCATGATCAAATTAATGTTCAACAAAACTACAGTAGTGAAATGATAAAGAGTCTTCTCAATTTTGTTTAATTCATGTTTGAAAACTTTAATTAACCACTGCTTATATCTAATCAGCCTTTAAACAGCCAGGGCCTGGTGATAAACACTTAATTCTGATGAAAACTATGCGAGGAGAAAATGGCAGGATCCCTACCTGTCTTTAAAATTAACTGTCCCAAAAAAGACATGACAGCCACTTATGACGAGAACCTGGTACACAAAAGGCAGGAGCGCCTGCAGGTGCAGGAACTAAATCACATATATTATGAAATGCTAAAACTGGACACAAGGGTGAGGATGGAATTCTGATAAGAGGAATCTGTTTCCTCCTACCAAACTGATTGCTTGTAATAAGTATTGCTTTATAAATACATATATATCGTTTTCTCACATTTATTAAACCAAATGCTACATTTAGATATTTGACTGCTTGAGAAAAATGAGTACTAAAGTATTCTTGGTCGGTTATGATGAGTGCTAATTAAATATAAAGAATATTAGACGAGGCTATAGTAACTACGACTGATCAGGGTTGAGTTAAAATCATTTTAACAAAATGAATTTCATTTCACTTCCCTTTGTTATGATCCATCTTTCAACATTTTATTTGATGTACAATGATAACGTATATCAACCTACAACTTTATATGACAAGCAGAACAAACCAGATATGACCATGAATGGATAATCACACAGTTGGGTTGCCATGTACAGGTATATCCTGGATCGCTACCAACTATAACTTTACACGTGTTTTCAGTAAATTAAATATTTGAAAAAAATAAATACTTGTTTTACTCTCATAGGTTATCATATAATCTTATCAGTAAACATGAACAGTAATAAACACCTAAGCAGTGCCTTTATTCTCACGTTCATCGCCTGCTGTCACGATAGGGAAAATGATACGCTTGAACCCGATGCATAAGATAGGGATATCTAAACAAGACACCGAAATAAAAATTACAAATGTATCAGGCTTGATAGTAAAGTATTGCTTTCAATAAGCCAATACATGTCTTATATCTGGCAGAACAGGTTAATATCAATTTGCTTACCTTGTTATGGCAGATAAATGAAGTCAAAATGCAATCTATACGGCTACCTTTCCTTATCTTCCTCTCCGCGAAAGGTTGTCAAACAAACACGGGGACGTCACGAAGTGCACCTCGTGACCAATTTCCACGATTGTCATTGGTAGCAAGGTTTCCAAGTGCGCCCTTAGTAAACAAGGGAGATAATATAAACGGAAGCAGATGAGAGTTGTGTCCCATTATTGATTTACACTGGTATCATTCAACTACAAAATGATTAATTTTCGAAAAGTACACATTTGATGAAATAAATGTATTCTATTTTTGTGTTTGTTCTTATTTATCGAATTATGAAATATAATAGTTCTGTGTTGCTTTTTAGTATTTTTTAATTGGTATTGCATATCCACCACCGTCAGTCAGGTCAAGTGGCTACCATTTGAAAAGTGATCTGTGTACGCTATAAATATACAGTTGGATGTAATTGAATGAATAAGTGATAGTCATGCAAGTAGGCTATATAAGATATCAATATATTTATTTAAACTATATTTTGGAGAGTGTTTTAATATTGATATGCATTTGCACGTGTGTAGACGATACTTTATATGGTGTGGGTGATTGCATGTTACCATCCCATGTATGTAGACCAGACACCTACAGACTATTCGGGAGTTGTAAACACTCGGTAAGCATATTTGTAAATATATCCAAAGACTTTCAACGCGTAATAAATTGCCCATGGTAAATAAAATTTCGTTTCTAAGTAAATCAATCTGATCATAAAACTTTAAAGTGAAGATGGCTATAAGAGGATTACACGGTAAACTGGGACACTCCGTGTCTTGTGTACATATTAACGTGTCGACATGTCCAATTTAACAATAGCAAAGGAGAGTATTGGAGCTTCAACGAGTAAGTGAACATGGATTTATTAACTTCATTAATATTTACGACTGCTGAGAAGTGAAACAATAGGATCTAATTAAATTTATATTGAATCTTTTAACACGTTAATTTATAAATGCAATCCGTTTAAAATACTAAACAAAAGTAACAAAAAGCCTGAAAAAACCAGCTTAGTGCTTAAACGGTACTCTTTAACATCAAAATTCAGTCGAACAAAGTTTATTTAGATGTGTAAAAGGGATATCACCACAGAAATATTACATATGTTGTACATGTTTGTTTAACTGCTTACATATATACCTATATATAGATATGGATATTGACTATAAACATCACGATGATATATTATCAACTAAATACCACCTTGATTGAATTTATACATTTACAAAAAAATAATGAACGGTGTATCATATTTTTACTGTTTAATCATACATAATTTTATGTAAGATAAAAGGAAAAATAAAAGAATGAAAAAAAAATTAAATGCAATGAATGAGTTTCTGTTTTTCGATAAAATTCCTAGTCATGAATCCAAATCTAAGTCCCTGTGTAAAATGGCAATGACTCACATTGTTGACTCGGCTTTTTATATTTAAGCAGGGTCAATATCACCTATATCTCTGTAATAAAGTTTGTTGAAATATTTTGTACAGATACGTCATTTGTCATAACTGGCCTTCTATAAGCTGTGGAACAGGATAGCAATATCCATTAAGATAAGTGGGTGAATGTCGAAAAGTAAATCAAACGCAATTGGCAAAGTCATAAAATGGAATGACAATTTATCAAGCAGGAAAGTCGAATAAGACAAAATGGTTAAATTAAAAACACAATCTCCTTTTCTTGTGTGTGTGTGTGTTTGTTTTGTTTTTTTAACACGAGAAAAACCGTTAAAATCTAAAAAACGCATTTATGTTTGGTGTTTTTTTTTGTGCCAAACACCAACTATCGACTAACAAACCTATCAATCTCTTGAGTTACCCCATACCAAAGCCTAATACCCTAAGGCTTGTTTATCTATCCTTAATGTTACTTCATTTTAGTAGGGCAACTGACATACCTACTCATTACAGCTGTTATTTATATGCATGGCAACAATTACTCAATGGGCAAATTTGATCATGTTTTTAAGATATCAATATCAATGAGATATCTTATAAAGTCTACAACATATCTGATAAAGAATGAATGTAAGACATCTCACCTAAATGTATAAGATATAATAATAATTATGTAACATATATCCTATACAAGATATCCTTCTTCATGTCCTGGTGATTACCTTCAGGGGGGATATAATAGTTTGAGGAAGAAATCTTGATGAAGCATTTTGTTCATGATGGTCAACTAATCTTTTTTAATCTTCATCCCTCAAGATCTCACTTTAAAAGTCCATGGATAAAAACGCTCTTTCTCGGTTTCAAACTAAAAGGTCAGTCTGCTCAATTTCTAACTGAATTGTGAGTCTCTTCAATTTCAATGGCAAGTCTGGAAGTATCTCATTGATCCTGCTTCAACCTTATCTTAAAATGGCAAAGTTTTCAAGACATTATAACCTGATGACATAAATGTTTTTTAAGACGAAGAAGTGAAGTGTTGTTTGATCCCATTTGGGAATGCGGAGAAGGGAAGAGGGGCTGAGATCACATACCTTTAGGAAGAGATAATTGTGTTTGATATGTATTTGTATTGTCTCCATATCATTTATGTTGCGAGACGAAGGGCGTCACATTTTGACGATGGTATCAGCCTTATTACTCCAAATTGTGCAATAAAATTACAAATATCATTACCAAGCCTGCTTTTTGTTTATATATATATATATATACGCAAGAACATCTCATACATTTTTTCAACGAAGATTTTAACACATGGTTGTTAATGTTTAATGTTTAGCTGGACATTGAATGTTATTATAAGGAAACCTGGAATTTACTCTCTATGTGACCATCCAAAGACACATTCCTGATTCTAATGTTTACCTACAATTTACTGTTTATTTGAATAAGTTAATTAATTGGGCCATGCTAAACTTTTTCATTAGCTTGGTGTTGAGATTTATTTCTCTCAAGAATTTGAATCTGGAACATGTTTATATCTATGAAGAATCATCCCAACACATATTTTAGACTGTTAATAGACTAGGCCATGTTTAAGTTTTTATGTTTAGTTTTGTGTTGAGCTATATTTCTCTCTATGTACATGTTCTGTTATAACTAGACCTGAAATATCCCTATATGAATGGTTATCCCAACAAATATGTCAGATTCTGAATTTCAACCACAGCTTTCTATTAATTGTACTTGATATTTTGTACCATGTTATAGTTTTCTGTTTGGCTGTTATAGAGCTTAGTTTTTCTCTATATACAAATAAGTTTATTCCTGATCCTATATGACACACATGACATATAATGACTGTTATTCTTGTGACAATATGGTAAGTCTATGAGCAGCAGTGTGTATGCCAGCTAACAAAGCTACTGATGGTAGATCTTTCAAAAACCATTGATTAGATGTAGTGTACAGTAAAACCTTTATTTCATCATTTTGACAAAACTCAAGCGAAACCTTAAAGAGTGGAGGGTCACTGAAACTGAAAAAATGGTTGATAACATTGTAACTTTAAGAAAACAAAGTATGATGGTAAAATTAAGGTAGAGTCCCTACACTCAGTGCTTCACCTCTCCTTTACTTGCTCTTGATGTAACAATTGTTTAATGCTATGTAAATGTTTATAAGATGGCTGTTATAGTGACATGTTTATTAAAATTTTCAATGTTTGAAATTAAAATGTTTCTGAGAATGTATCATTTCAGATTTTTAAAAAATTTTTGATTACACATAGAAGAAATGTACTTGTTTTGTTTATTTTGTAAGCACTTTTCAGAAGGATCATTAATATAATTTTGATAACAAGTCTTGTTCTGTGAAAGCTTTATTTTCAAGCTTTCATCTTAATCTTAATAAATGTTTAGAAAGTACTTGCTACCTTGTTTCATTTTGATCTTGAGGAAAATGAAAACTTGGCTTCATTTAAAATGTTTGAAATAATTGAGATTCATGGAGTCCCACTACTAATACATTTCCTTGCATAAATGAATAATTCAGACACCAGAAAAAAAATATTGTATAATTGAAGGACACTAATTTTATGTAAAATTAGCTTTTTAACTGCAGTTGCAATCTGCATATTATTGAAGTTAAATAAAAACAAGATATGAAATCAAATTTTGATGTTTTAATCAAGATAAAACATATATTGATATGTACATCTTACACACTTTAATAACATTCTGCTCACACTCAATTATTGTTGTCAAATGAACCATTACTGTGATGTCATGGTACAGCAAAACACATGACAACTAGATATGTCTCTCAATCAAATCAAACAGCACACTTTGGTTCCCATTCATACACACGGATATATACAAATAAATATATCTCTCACAAATAAATATATTTGGCATATCAACAAATCTAAATGCCTTTTAGAGACATTTTCTATGTACAAATTTAAATGCTGTACAAATGGCATAGATATCACATTTGGCAAGATATATAATATCAAAATGACAGATAGGATATATCATGTCATATAAGGTACTTTTACAGTTTATACGTAAATATTATGCACTCTGTTATGAGAACTTCTCACTATGAGACAAGTTTCTTGGTAGATTCAACAGGTAATAACAGTCCAATCCATTGGAATTATACTTGTTGTTCTCTGGGAATCAAAGAATAGGTTCAGACAAATATCACATGTTTGACACAATAATTGCACTTTTGGTTGAGATACACATCCCAGTAGATAATGCACCATCTTGTTTTGCTGGTAACAATATCAGTTCATCTATAGCATTCCACTAAAATGAGCATCGTAGAGGGAAGGATGATGCTTCTGGAACTGTCGCAGTTTCTGTTTCTTCTCCTTCAAAGACATCTCTGTGTTGTCAAGAATATCATTCATCATAGACACCAAGGCATTCTGGGTACATTCTGCAGCCTGCTGCTCATACTCCTGAGGCGAAATTTGCTGGCAATATGTGTTTTCTAAAGGGAAAATAAATGATCAAATATTAGCTTTTGTAAACATATTTCCAAAAAAACATGATGGCATATTTCATCTTGTGAAAAGCCAGGGTCATTTTGAGGCTGGGTCTTTTTGTAGTAGCTAGTAACTATTTTACTGAACAACATACCAGAGGCCAGTCACATGCTGCCCAGAGTAACTTGGACGACTTGTCTTATCCATATCAGCAGATTGAATTCTACTAGTAGTGAATTAAGGACAGTTGTTTTACATAATTTTTGTTGCATTGACTCATGACAATAAATATTGAAATCTTAAAAAAATTGAAATCTGTAGTTATTGCAAGTTTAAAAGCCATATTATTGATTTTGTAAGATAATTACCTCTGACAGGTGAGACCTCTCCTGTACGGATATCATCAATACGGGAGTTAACACGGTCACGAATCTCCTTTGGGATACTGAAGATGTCTTCTACATTCTCAACCATAAATCCTACAAGGATGCGTGCAAGCTTGGGGGCCACAACTTTGTGCTTCATGATACTGTCAGTGAAAGTATTCAGTAGATGAACCTCATTATCATCCTGAAAAAAGGAATAATACAATTGTATTAAATAATTATGAAGATGAAAGAAATTGCATGTAGAAAACTTCAGAATGAAGATGATTAAATTTATTTGTAGAAAACAATTTCAAGTCAGCTTGAAACGATTCTTTCTTTATAATTATATAAAACGACAATGGCATATTACTAACATTACCTAATAATGTATAAATTTTGTAATGTCACTGAAAAATTATGGAAATAACTTTGTAGCTATACAAAAACATAAGTTATAGGAAAATGCATGAAAATAAATATCATTGCTAGTAGTTTTCCCAAGCTAGATCTAGATAAGACAAACCAAGGGGAAGAACTCTTTCAAAATGTCACAAAGGTAAGTTACAATTACATGATATAAATAGCATGTGCTAAAAAAGTCATATTATTTACAATAAAGACATTTATTAAAGCACATGATGTTCTGTAGAATTTTACCTTGGCATCAATCTGCATGGACTCGTCCTTGACAGCAGCCATGAATCGCAACAGACGTTGGAGCTCCTCTCGCACATGCCATGGCAGAAGGATCATGTCGAGCTGAAGAGCGTCAAGTGCCTTCTGGTCGGTCTGCTGGAGGATGAAGTTGAGGACAGCAAGGTGAAGGTCAATGAAGCGCTCAGGGAGAAGAGACTCTTCCAATTGGGTGGTATAATGTTCACTGATGATGTGGAAGGCCTGAAGCTTGGCAGCAGGGTTAGTATCACGTACAAAGCTGTTCTCCAGAACACTAATCCCCTTGGGCAGACACTCGATACAGCTGAGAGCTGAGGACATGAACGGATCCTGACCAGCAGATGGAATGTTCCAGTGCTTGGCCACTACATTGGAGATGATAAGGTTTTGCTTCAGGAACTTCTTGTTTGGCTTCTCTTCTACCAGGAGGCCATCCAGGAATGGAAGGTCAATCAAAGTCAACAACTGGCATAGGGCAACTTCCTTCCACAAATCCTCTAGAGCTAACAAAGAAAAACAATAATGTCATACACCTGATCCACACAGTGACAACACTGTCTAATAGACATACTAATACAAAGTGGGTCCCTTTTTCTATAGTTTAACTAGAATATTTTGTTGTGGTTTCTTCTCAAATATTCCGATTTAAAGTGAAATCAACTTCTGTATATACTTGAATATTTTGTCAAAGATTACAAAACTATCAGTACTTTACTATCTACCAACTTGTTATGGTTATTATTTCTATAGGTAACATGCTTCATCTAACTGATTTAATGAACAAATTTCCAGACAAAACATGCCAACAGATTAAACAAATATTACAACTGGTGATGTGACAAAAATGAAAGCTAATCAGTGATATCAATCAAAATTACATACAAAAAATGTAATGCTTCCATCCTATTGATGTGTATTATACTATCTATATAATTCAGGTGCTTAGCAGGCATTTCTAAACATTGAATTCACAATACACACACTGGAATAAGACTATACCGGTACAAAACACTCACAAGTGCATTCAAAAACTGTAAAGCTTGTATTCAGAATATGAAGCCTTTTTTTAATAAAATTTTTTATCTTGTTGCATTGCTTTGATTAATTTCCAGATACCTTTAATCATTGATATGATGTACAATAGATTCATTTCTAATTTCTTTTTTTTTTAAATTATCAAATTTTCAAAATTATAACAATTGAGCAAAATTCATTAATAGGATTTCCTGAATACTAGACCAGCTTGTGAATGCAGTGAATCTAGGGTGCATTTCTAGGACAACACAAACCTTCAGGAGATACATCATGCTTCTCTTTCATGCTACGCATTAACATGGAGGTATTGGCACACTTGAGGGAGCTGCGACTACGTCTACGACTGTATGAGTTCTGGAGGGAAAGAATTTCCTGTAGGACCTGACCTTTCTTGTTGACAGCAATGGGGTTACAGATGACACCATCCTCAATTAAGTCAGGCTCAATGCTGGGGTCAATTCTGAAAATGGGATAAATAAAATAAGAATAATGTAAATATATATGTATGTGCATTAACAAATAGGATTTTGCAATGACAGTAAGTTAAGGTAACACATTATAACATTGACTGGTGATCATCGACATGAAGTTGTCATGTCCGTTAAAAATATCAAGAAATATATGATGTTTCGTTGGTCTTTGAGAGGAACTCTTTATGGATGGAGATTATATTACAGTAAGAGTTTTCAAGAACTCTTATTTTTCTGGAATAAAGAAATAAATGGTTTTTCACAGGCAACCACTTGTTCCTTAACTCCTATTTTCTCTGCAATACATTTTTCTGTCTGGTATCTATCACTTCAAATTATGAGGCAATTTTGTGAAAGAAAGATGTCATACTTTCTCCTTTATAAATGTTGAAATGAAACATATCTTTAAATCCCATTGGAATATTCATTCTGTTTAATGAAGCATGAAAGCATTGCAAATATTTCATGAAGATCTCTTACCTCATGTCATCGCTCTTGCTGCGGCAGTCAACCACGATAGAGTAGTTCTGGTCCTCATCCGACTCCTCGGACTCCACGATGCGGTTCTCCTCTTCATGCTCCAGGTCTGGGCCTACAAAGCGGTACAGCTTGCTATGGCTATCATCAAATGTTTTCTTGATCTCGCTGGATCGGGAACTGACAGGGCTGAAGACGTTGCGATCCATCAGAGACTGGCAAAGCTGTAAATAGTAAACAAAACATAAAACATAAATACCTGATATGGAACTTCAGAATATTTACAAAAAATGTGCCACTACAATATCTTTAGATTTATATTGCAGGCTCTTATGGAAAACCCTGATATATACACATGTATCATTTAATAATTGTGTATTTCTAACCAAAGTATACATTACATCATTATTTGAGTATGCTATGTTTTATTTATTTATTTTTTTTTTGTGGATAATTTTCCAGTTTAATATAGTTGAAATCATGAGTGAAATTAATCTATCATGCCTTATTGATGTCAAATACATACCTTGATGGCCTTTTCCCTGGAGAGGTCACTGCTGAAAGTGTTGCGGTCACTCAGGAGGTAGTGTAAGACAACGTCTACAGCATCCGTTCCACAGAAACAGTTATCATAGTTACGCATCTTGTAGCGGCGGCGCTTCACCTCAACCTTGGACTTCAGGTGCTCAATAATCTCATTCCATATCTGTGTCGCACGGAATGGACCTGCAAAAGATAATATTGATTAAATTTTTTTAGAATATGATAATTATTACTATTTATTACAGTACTTTTTTAAGGAGAAAATTTTCCAATTGTTACAACTCTATGCATAAAAATCATCAGGAGTAAATATTGTTGAAACTTTTTACAATCTAACTGAAAAATAATTGTTAATATTTTCTAATAGATAAAAAATGAAAATTTGCCTTTTAAATGACATACACTAAAAATAGAGCTTTTGATGTACAGTAACATTCCCATAACTCATCATACTAGGGTTAAAAAATTAGCAGTCCATCTAATTAATTCAATTTCTTAAGGATATGTGCCCATTTTTCACTATTCAAAATGTAAATGGAATGAGAATTATTTTCCAAGCCATACTTTTGAACTGTTTAAAATGTAAATGAAATACAGATTTTCTCTCTTACAAACTTATAAAACTGTTGAACAGTTCAGATTGTTGAAAGATTCCCCAGTTGTGAATAAAGACATGTACCATATAATTTCACACTAAAGAAATAAAAAAATACAGTAACAGTTTAAAATACCTCTCCTTGTAGAAGTGATAGTCATACAACTTGTGTCCAGTGTCCTAGTCATGATGACAAGTATTCCCACAAAATGTTCAGAATCTGACTAAATGCTGTACTGGAAGACTGACCAGTGGCTATCTATGTTATATTGGTGATATCAGTTACTCAACTCAATTAACTATCAGAAAGTATAAGTGTCAATAAAAAACTTGCTTCTGTAATTCTATCCTAATTTGCTAACCAGCAGGAGAAAGCTGAATGACCAGTCTTGATTTTGGTCAGTATATATAAGGTAAGTGGGCTAGTGTTTGAACTACAATATCTTGAGTCTTGAGTATCTGTTGACAGATGTTACTGAGGACTAGTGGTGGCCAAACCAACACCAACACCTTGCTTTAAGTAAATAACCCTTCTGTATCACAACAGTGACCACAGGTGCTTGACCTATACCCCTGACCACTACAAAAATCACTATACTAACACAACATCTTCTGACCTTGCTGTCTGACAATACAATGTAATGTTATCACAACATCTTAACCAATGATAATCTTGAGTTGATATTTCACCTAAGATGAGTATTAGCAGAATATAATAGCACCTGGTCAATTTACCTGTTTTCCCAGATACAAGCTGTTTATACTGCTCTTCCTCAACACCTTTTAAGAATCATTCCAGATGGTGACTTATTTAGTTTCAGTGTTACCTTGTATTTGTCTCAGACATTGCGGCATTTTTGTCATGTAAACAGGAAGTCCTTTTGTTGTGACCCTTAATTCCCCGAGAATATAAGAGTTCCCATGGGGTAAGTTTTCAAAGTTATCAAATACTTAGTAACTAGAATGAACTGTTTGAAGAAAGAAATTTAGCAGTTTCTTAAACCACTTCAGAAATTCTTCACTTCACAAAAAAAAGTGTATGTTGAGAGGTTTGATATTATATCAATATCATACAATCTCTGGTTAGTATTAAAATAGGTTGATGGTTTAACTATTTTTAACCAAATGGAAAATTATCTGTTGTCTTAGCAATATCAATTTCATAAACACATTCATAAAGAACTCTTCATGTCTACAATATAACTTTATACTCTCTTGTTGAATACAACAGAAATCTTACAACTTTCTTAGAGTGGTCATTAATTGGAATTTTTTTGTTAATTTCAGAGATAAACTTCTAAATATAAGTAATTTTTGTACATAACAAGATGAATTAATTGGTTGAGAGTAAACTAAGAAATATCATATCTTTGTAATCAGAATTGAATATACCACAAAGGAAATGCTTATGAAATCAATACAATTCAAACTTAGATAAAATATTCAAAATTACTGATATAAACTGAAAAAGTGTTTTAATTTAATTAGCAGAATTGTACATTACAATGTTGTTTTTCATGTCTAATGTTTACATAAAATATCTTATAATTCACAATCAGTTTATGAATTCCAGTACTGCATTCTAATTATAGCTATTTGTGATTTGTACAAAGATAATTGTTGGTGTACAAACATTGATTATCTGAAGTTGAATGAAAATACATGTTGATTTAAAAAGGAATGTTCCACAAAAAATATATTTCTAAAAGGAAGGATTTTTTAATCTAGAAACACAAACATGCCTGTGAGTTTGTGAAGATATATCAAATGTTTTCAGAACAACTTAATAAAGTCTAATGTCTGATGTTGTTCACACTACATGCACACCATCTGTATCTGGAAAATCCCTGTTACACAATTATACATATATACATTTTATTCTAAGAAGAATGAATTAAAAATCCACTAAAGTTAAATACTAACTTTAAAATGGCATGAGATGCTACAGAATCCCCCTGATTAGTTTTTGTAAACTTTTTTGACAATTAAAATTTAAAAGTAACTATAATAAAGAAGTTAATTTGTACATGACAAAACTTACTCAATGTGACTAAATATATTAAACCAGTTCAACCAAGAATTAATTTTCTGTGATGAAAATATGTAATCAGATGATTGTTTGCACTATAACAACACAGTACTTAAATGTCAATCATATGCAAACACAATAAAGATGTAAAACTTTTGACCCAGTGACCTTATAGTATACTTTACGATCAATTTTCACCAGTTTTTCCTTTGCAATTAAAAGTATAACAAAGTATACATTGATTAGAAGAATATTGGTAAACATCCATCACCTGTCCTAGTGCCACGAAAAAAGCATTGGTAGGTGACATATATACCAAAAGCTTATCAGTAAGGTAACACATTCAAAACTCCTAGTATTTACTTTAGATATGATATAAACTATGATGGTTGTTCATGATTAACTTACTGGATACACCAGTCAACAAGACATTTACTCTAAATCATACTTAACACTTAATCCAGATAGTTAGTGTTACATAAATTGTTGGTAATAGTACAATTAGAATAAAATTTAAATACAAAAATATTATTTTGAACACAATTTCAAACAAACACCAGTGCATCATATTCTATATTTTCATGAATTTATGATCAATAAGGATATATACAAAATAGATGATAAAAAAATTGTGGAAACCATATTGAAATAAAGTATATCATTATGTTATTTACCTCTAATTCCTGGTGAGCAGGACATTGCCTCCACAGGCCTTGCCAGTAACCTATCCTTACATGGACTATGATACAAAGAAGGACTCCAAAGAAACCTCATCCTTATAATTTATAACTAACAGCTGAACTCTAACAAAGGCAATGGTCCACACACTATCTCGTCCAGAATCTTTATGATGCTTTTAACTTTTGCACCTGTGTTTTATGGTGATACCTATCTACCTGTGCTCTACAGGTATGTAACTGACACCAATATGCAAATTTCCACCCTAACCTGGCATCCCTGGCAGTAAACAAAAGAAGGCCCAAGATGTTTTCTTTCCTATTACTGAAGGTAATGGGATTAGGTCCTCTGCCTGTTCCTTAACTTACATAGAATGGTCCTGCTCAGGTAAAATCTGATTGATTCTGACAACAGCTACTGTCTAATTGTTATTTGGGAGGAGTATTGCCTTCTGTATATAGATATTCATTTGTCACATCTTTTTACTGACATTATGATAGATAGCTTCTGTCTATAATTGTTATTTACAGTGAGTATTGCCTTGTTTCATTGGGCACTGGCTACTGACAGGTGTTGTCATAACTAAAATGTAACAGAACTGTGTCACAAAATAATCATGCAATGATATCCAATATATTAAAAAAGGGTTGTCTTACTAATCTAGTATCAGCACAAATGAAAAAAAGTCACTCATGTATGTAAGTGTAGTAATACATTAGTAAGAGGTATTCTCATTAAATGAAATTATGATCTTCTTGTGATAAATTATTAGCTCTCATTGCTGTTTTCTAGACTTATCATGTTGTGATACTGATTAATTGATACTCTAATTATTACCAAAAAAAAATCCAAAATGTTATTTATCAAGTGAAATTGGTCAATACAATATAGTACCACGAGTACAAAGTTTACATGAGTCTGTTTAGTGCAATATGAGACAAGTTATTGAAGATAAATACCATTTTATTCTTGAAATTATCATAGCATATAGAAATTTGGGGAACAAGTACATCAAAAATTACTATTGGAAAAGTATTGAAGTTAATTCCCTTTTTTTAGAAGTGACAATGATTAAGAACTATTTTCTCTTGGTAAACATATATATAATGCTAATCAATTAACTTATGACATAGTGATTTGATCAAATGTACTTATATATGACATTTATTTTTATAAATCTTTGTTTTAATATTTAAGAAATAAGAAGCTAATAAAGGTAAATATTATACACAGAAGAAGATTTTATCGTATGAATTAGTGAATAGTGTTTACAGATAACCACTAATATCTAGTCAATATTATGTAATGTATTCATATATATTGTAACTAAAAAGTGAAAGGAATAAGTTATAAAAACCCAAATAATTTGTGTCAGTTGATCTGTAGATGTTTTGTGTTATGGAAGTAATGACAGTATAGAGACCAGTGAATTTTTGAGGCAATATGTCCCTTTATCAAGAAGCAAACTAAATCTGAGGACAATGACATAAAATGTCCCAATAACTGACAGCAGTTTTGATATACATTCATACACTTGCAGGTGTTGATACACATGGCCAATCATATCCAAATAATGACCGCCTCATTTTGAAATGATTGTTTGTTTAATAGCCAGTTTTATTATTAACAGTTTTCAAACTTGTTTTGAGACTGAATGGACTTACATTTTCTTTTCTTTGTACACAAAACTATTTCAAACAGAGTTTGTTTCTAAATAAACACTTTATAGAATATTATTTTTATCTACAGTTGTATACATGGAATTACCTTCAACAAAAGATCGCTTTGGTATTGTACCTCTGTGGCCAATCAGACAGTCTTTTGTTAGAAATGCTGTATTTCATTTTGTGGGGAAAAACTTACACACACACTAGTAATTTT